CTCGTACAACGCTGTCTACTACTCCCTTCACAGAACAGCGCAAACTGGCTCTAACCAGAATAGAAAGAGGAGTGGGAGACTCCGGTGCACAACTGAGCAAGAGGACAAATACATTCGTGTCTAGTTTGAGAAACAGGCGCATCACAGGTCCTCAACTGGCAGCTTCATTAAAAAGTACCCGCAAACAGTCTCAACGTCAACAGTGAAGAGGTGACTCCGGGATGCTGACCTTCTAGGCAGTGTACATGTAGGTAGAGTTAAAGTGACTATGCATAGATAATAAACAGAGAGTAGCAGCAGCGTAAAAGAGAGGGGGGGGTGCAAATAGTCCAGGTAGCCATTTGATTAGCTGTTCAGGAGTCTTATGGCTTGGGGGTAGAAGCTGTTAAGAAGCCTTTTGGACCTAGACTTGGCGCTCCGGTACCGCTTGCTGTGCGGTAGCAGAGAGAACAGTCTATGACTAGGGTGGCTGGAGTATTTGACAATTTTTAGGGCCTTCCTCTGACACCGCCTGGTATAGAGGTCCTGGATGGCAGGAAGCTTGGCCCCAGTGATATACTGGGCCATACGCACTACCCTCTATAGTGCCTTGCGGTCGGAGGCCAAGCAGTTGCCGTACCAGGCAGTGATGTAACCAGTCAGGATGCTCCTGATGGTGCAGCTGTAGAACTTTTTGAGGATCTGAGGACCCATGCCAAATATTTTCAGTCTCCTGAGGGGGAATAGGCTTTGTCGTGCCCTCTTCACGACTGTATTAGTGTGTTTGGACCATGATAGTTTGTTGGCGATGTGGACACCAAGGAACTTGAAGCTCTCAAACTGCTCCACTACAGCCCGTCGATGAGAATGGGGGCGTGCTCAGTCCTCTTTCTTTCCCTGTAGTCCACCGTCTGGTGTTCCACCTTCCCAAGTTCTCTCACGTCACCCCGCTCCTCCGCACACTCCACTGGCTTCCAGTTGAAGCTCGCATCGCTACAAGACCATCGTGCTTGCCTACGGAGCTGTGAGGGGAACGGCACCTCCGTACCTTCAGGCTCTGATCAGTCCCTACACCCAAACGAGGGCGTTGCGTTCATCCACCTCTGGCCTGCTGGCCCCCCTACCTCTGCGGAAGCACAGTTCCCGCTCAGCCCAGTCAAAACTGTTCGCTGCTCTGGCACCCCAATGGTGGAACATGCTCCCTCACGACGCCAGGACAGCGGAGTCACTCACCACCTTCCGGAGACACTTGAAACCCCACCTCTTTAAGAAATACCTGGGATAGGATAAAGTAATCCTTCTACCCCCCTTACTCCACCCCAAAAAATATATATAAAAAAAGAATTTAAAAAATATTGTAAAGTGGTTGTCCCACTGGCTATCATAAGGTGAATGCACCAATTTGTAAGTCGCTCTGCATAAGAGCGTCTGCTAAATGACGAAAATGTAAATGTTGTCCTGGGACCACACTGCCAGGTCTCTGACCTCCTCCCCATAGGCTGTCTCATCGTTGTCGGTGATCAGGCCTACCACTGTTGTGTTGTCAGCAAACTTAATGATGGTGTTGGAGTCGTGTCTGGCCATGCAGTCATGGGTGAACAGGGAGCACAGAAGGGGACTGAGCATGTACCCCCGAGGGGCCCCTGTGTTGAGGATCAGCGTGGCAGATGTGTTGTTACCTACCCTTACCACCTGGGGGCGGCCTGTCAGGAAGTACAGGATCCAGTTGCAGAGGGAGGTGTTAGTCCCAGTGATGAGCTTTGAGGGCCTCTTGTAGCTCAGTTGGTAGAGCATGGTGCTTGCAACGCCAGGGTTGTGGGTTCGATTCCCACGGGGGGCCAGTATGAAAAATGTATGAACTCACTAACTGTAAGTCTCTCTGGATAAGAGCGTCTGATAAATGACTAAAATGTAAACGCTGAGCTGTAGTCATTGAATAGCATTCTCACATAGGTGTTCCTTTTGTCCAGGTGGGAAAGGGCAGTGTGGAGTGCAATAGAGATTGCATCATCTATGGATCTATTGGGGCGGTATGCAAATTGGAGTGGGTCTAGGATTTCTGGGAAAACGGTGTTGATGTGAGCCATGACCAGCCTTTCAAAGCACTTCATGGCTACAGACGTGAGTGCTACGGGTCGGTGGTCATTTAGGCAGGTTACCTTAGTGTTCTTGGGCACAGGGACTATGGTTGTCTGCTTGAAACATGTTGGTATTGCAGACTCAGTCAGGGACAGGTTGAAAATGTCAGTGAAGACACTTGCCAGTTGATAAATACAATTTGATTTGATTTGAGGGTTAGGGGTTAGGTTTAGAGTTAGGACTTAGGGGTATGGGGATAAGGTTAGGGTTAAGGTTAAGGGTTAGGGTTAACTTTAGGGAAAATAGGATTTTGAATGGGAATAAATTGTTTGGTCCCCACAAGGATAGTAAAACAAGGATGTGTGTGTGTGTGCGCGTGTGAGAGAGAGTTCACATTAATGCACTACAGTACTTTCGAAAAGTCCACCAAACTTGGATGATGCCTTTCAGTTTAAATATTGAACAACACCTCCAGAAAAATAATGTCCAACCCCTGTGTACAAACACAAACTGAATTCAGTGAAAGCTTGACTGCTGAGTTCATATGGCGCGCCAAGCTGAGCCTAGAGCCTCTGCTCCCCTCAGAGGACAGTGATGTCATTGTGTGTGTGTGAAAGGGGCAACTTTGTGCCTAAAACAACTGTGTATTTCTAAAGTTTACTGTTTGATTTCACGCTGTCCAAAAATAACACTGTGCTCAAAACATAATTTTCTTCCCTCCTTTCTGTCCTAAAGAGCATTCATATTTTATTCACATTCTCTCAATTTCCATTTCCAAGCCTTACACTGCTCTGAATATTGATGAGATACTTGCTAAAGGTGGCTGGCTGCACATTGTCTGAGATTCTGATTTCTCTGTAAAAAGATGGTAACTGCATTAGCAATATTGGGTTACTTGCCCAAGTTCTTCTTTGTGAGTGTCTGTTATTCAAAATGTGCCCCCCGGACAACTATGGGGTCAAGTTATGAGTGCTTCTAAATTCTGCAGCAGTTATCAATTAAAATATATAATTAATAAAACTACCACCAGGCAGATGATAAAGTATGCAGAAGATACAGAACTTGATACTTGAGAGAGATGCAACCAAAAGCTTAACCAAGATAGTGAATGAATTAATTATAACATTCATTATAACATTATCTCGGCATTATTCTGTATTCATTGGTCTGTAAGCCTACAGAATGACATAATTTTTTTATTACAGACACACACCATTCTGTGACGATTTCTCCAACAGCTATGTCCTGAGGGAATTTTAGAATGGATTCAAACTTGGATGTGATTCGTTGTATTTCTCAGCCTGCTCTCCCACAATTCAACAAGCAACAAAGGCAAGGGAGAGAGGAAGAGTCCGTCACAAAGTATTAGAAAAAAATGAAATAAATAGATTGTTGTTGAAAAATTACGATGCAGCATATAAACAGCCGTAGATAAAAGGGGGAACCATTGCAACGCACTTTTATTTTGTTTTGCTAGCTAGCTAGATACGGTAGCTCCTTCCACGAGATGCTTTTGACTGCTAAGCTAGCTTGCCGACTGGCTAAGCTAAGTAGCTAGCTAGCTAGCTCAGTTCTGTCTTCTAAAATTTTCAAATTTCGGTAAAACCCAATTAAAGTGTACATTACCACGAATGCAGATGGCAATCTAACGAAGTAAGTACCCAACTATACAATATTACAGATTGTTTCGTTGACTCAAATAGCTAATGCATGTATCTAGGCAGCCAAGTTAGCTAGCTGGCTAGGTTAGCCAGCTAGCTAACTTAGTTGACCAGACAGCTATCTACATTCAGTTTCTGTGTCAACACAGTAACATTTTCGACTACCCATTACTACATTGATATTTAGCTGTCAATGTGAAACTGTCATAGTATTTGGGAGATCTATGATTAATTAGACCGGTATAGTTACTTTCTTAACATGGAAAAAGAGCAATCTAACGTTAGATGGCCAGCAAAACCAAAGACTGTAGTGTAGGCCCAGCTGGCCAGGTCTATTAGCTTTGTAGCTAACGAGTTAGCTAGCTAGTTAACTAACTGGCTAGCATTCGTAATTTGGCAGCTGGCAAGACAAGACCATGCAGTTTAGCAAGACAACCAACTTGGCAAAGTGGTCATTAGCAATGAAAATACGTATGATTTATCAGGTGTGGTTGTTCGGATGACAAATATTTATTGTCAAAACATGACATTTTAAGGTTAGCTAGAAACTTAGTAATCAATTGGCTAGTTTTTTTTCTTCCAATGACAAGGGCCTATAAATTAGCTAACTAGCTATGAACATCAGTTCTGTTAATATTCTAGCTTGCTTAACACCATTTCATTTTTTAACAGTCTGCTCATAATAATCTGCCAATAATAGTTTGAACACTACACGTGATGTAAATACTTTTCTGAAAAAGTTACTGCTAAAGACACTAATGTTTGGTGCAATTATGAGACATTGTTTTACGTACAAATGAATGTATTTCAATTGAAATGTAGGTCTATTTTTAAATACAAATAATATTGCTATCATATTCAACATTATTTCTACAGCAAGGGAAAACTGTTGGAACATTAGTCCAACTGAGTCACCAATTCTAGTCATACAATGGTAATCACTTTGTACAGTTGATTTGTTTGCCATTTCTAATAATAAGAATAAGCTTATCAGTAAATCGGGGTGTCTTGAAACGTCTGTAGAGGCATGCATATGTTGTACAAGGATTATCTGCATCGCATCAAATTAGCATATTGTTTACCAATGCAATCTAGGTACAGGAGATGTAGTCCTAATGTCCCATCCAAGAATGATAGAAACACAGTTATTTGATAAGGTAAACTCGTACCTAACGGACTATTTATTAAAAACAGATTGTGAAAAAATAAGTGTTGAACTGTTCAGTAATGTTTTTTTTAAATGTGTGTTTCCTCCCAGGGGATGAGTGCTGTGCAGTGTATATGACCAGCTGTCTCCAGCCTGATGGGAGGACTCTGTGGATAGCAGCACCTTCATCAGGACCCCAGGAGGAGAGCAGCCATCCCGTCCAAGTCTCATGCCCCACGCCCCTCCCCTGCCAAGGAGGGCCGTTCAGAATGAAGAAAATCAGCCTTAAGACCATCCGCAAGTCCCTCAACATCAACAAAGGCAAGGAAGAAGGAGGGGGGGATTTTGTCATGCTCCAGCAGCCCTCGCTAGCGGCCGACTTCTCCAAGGAGGACGCTCTTTTCGGGGGCTGCTACAACAAAGACCTGGCGGGCTGCGACCTGGGAGGTGGTGGTGGAGGAGTGGAAGAAGAGGATAAGGCGGGACACAACAAGGGCCGTTCTAAGAGCGAGAGCCTGATGGGTTCTCTGAAGAGGAGGCTGTCGGCCAAGCAGAAGGCCAAAGTCAAAGGGGGCTCCACAGCCATGGGGTCAGCTGATGACGACGATACCTTTTCCTCCTCCTCTGTGCCCATCAGCTTCAACGAGGTCAAGGCCCAGCGGCCGTTACGATCGGCATCCCTCCGCAGCCACCATTACAGCCCTTCTCCCTGGCCCCTGCGGCCTGTAAACTCAGACGAGGCCTGCATCAAGATGGAGGTGAAAGCTAAAGCCATGGTCCACTCCCCGAGCCCCAGCCCAAACCTGAATGGCGTGCGGAAGGATTTCCACCACCAGGGTTTCCAGATGGAGGGCATCTTCCATGAGCAGGCCGTGAAGAACCTCCAGGAGCAGGCCGAGTCCCTGAAGAACCTCCAGCAGCCCCAGAATGGAGACCAGCTGCACCTGAACATTGACGAACACGTGCCTGTAGTCCTGGGCCTCACGCCGCAGGACTACATCCAGTACACCATGCCTTTAGAGGAGGGAATGTACCCAGAGGGGTCCCACTCTGTCTCCCACTCCTTCTGCCTAGAGGGGTCCTTGCCCATGGAGGTGGTGACTGAGGCGGACAGTAGCTCTCTCCACCTCCACGCTGACCACCAGAGTCAGGAAGACCAGGATCTGGTGAGTATGAACCTGAACCTGTCGGCGGACCTCTTCATGGAGTCTGTGAATGGCCTCCTCATCGGCTCTAATGGGGTGATGCTCCAGAGCTCCAGGGACAGGGTCGATGCCCAACAACACCCCCCTCCCCCCCCCCCTCTCTCCCCTCCTGCCCCTGCTATCCAGCAACGAGATCCCCAGGACTTGCTCCGGGTTCAGTGGGGTGGACATCCACGTGGCGGAGCGGGTGAGGCACCACTTGAACTTTGACCCTAACTCTGCTCCGGGCGTGAGCCGGGTGTATGACTCAGTCCAGAGCAGCGGGCCCATGGTGGTGACCAGCCTGACTGAGGAGCTGAAGAAGCTAGCCAGGCAGGGTTGGTACTGGGGGCCCATCACACGCTGGGAGGCTGAGGAGAAGCTGGTCAACCTGCCCGACGGTTCATTCCTGGTCAGGGACAGCTCGGACGATAGGTACCTCCTCAGCCTTAGTTTCCGCTCCCAGACCAAGACCCTCCACACCCGCATCGAACACTCCAACGGACGCTTCAGCTTCTACGAGCAGCCCGACGTGGAGGGACACACGTCCATCGTGGACCTGATTGAATACTCCATCAAAGATTCGGAGAACGGAGCCTTCTGTTATTCTAGATCTCGCTTACCAGGGTCCGCCACCTACCCCGTCAGGCTGACCAATCCCGTGTCTCGGTTTATGCAAGTGCGCTCCCTGCAGTACCTATGTCGGTTCGTGATCAGACAGTACACCAGGATTGACCTGATTCAGAACTTGCCTTTGCCCAACAAGATGAAAGACTACCTGCAGGAGAAGCACTACTGACGGGGTTGACACAGACATGAGATGGGACAGACAATGGTAGCAACTTGCACTTTTGGGTTCAGTTTAAGAGATTTAACAAAGGTTTACAGACATCCATCGTTTCGAGAAGATCGATTGGGTTCCATTGGCTCTTTGTTTTTGCCCAGGGATGTGTCCGAAATGGAACACTATTCCGTATGTAGTGCAGTACCTCTGCCCAAAAAACTGGCTAAAAATAGTGCACTATATTGGGAATAGTGAGCCTGTTCAGATTTGCCCAAGGTGATGTTTCTCACTGTCCAGTCCCCCATTCCACAGTTAAAGGGTTAAGTCATTGTCGCTCAGACTCAGTTTCTGGCCAAACCTCCAGAGACATATCGTTGAATCTTGTATATGAATCTGTCACAGAAGTACAAAGCATGATTAAGGTACAGCAAACATACTTTATCAACAGTGAGATATGGAGATCCAATATTTCTCTCTCCAGTTGCTGTAGAAGAATGGAAACGCTAGAATTGCAAGTTTAGCCTTCTGAATAACATAAATTATTTTCCTTCTGGCTCAAATTTACAGATTTAAAATAAGGTTTCACATAACTGGCTTAGGTTTGACATCTTAAAAGGCTGCAGTGAAGGAAATGAAATAAATATCTGGGCAGATTTTAGGGCATGATCCTTTTGACGCTTCATTTAAACATTTACTTGAAAGATATCCAACAACAACGCAGTGGGGCATATCTTCGGCATCTTAAACAAACTGAAGTAGAAGCACTGCAGTAATGTAAATCAGAGGCCAAAAGTATTTTTAAGCAACAACGTAATTCCTTAATTTCACAGGGTGAATTCAACCTTTTTTATTTGCCATCCATCAAGTTGGTTAATGACAACTGCTTGGGCTAATAAGAAACGTAAGCTGTGTGTGGGTGTGTGTAGCCTAGACTATTTGATCTCGCCCACTATAAAGGTACTGTTAAAGGATAGATAAAAGCTAGTTTAAATGTCACCATGCACTTCTACTTAATATTTATGCATCAGTATGGTGGCTTTTTACATGCAAATACCAGTAAGTAATGAATAATTAACCCGAAGATAAACATTTAAATGCTTCCCTATTAGGAGTCTGTCACAAAAGCTGCGCTAGGACAAATTAACAAGTGTCATGTTCAGTACAGTATGCTTGGCTCTGCGTGCAGGAACTGCTTTTGAACTGTTAAATACAGTAGACTGTAGATACTTAGACCTATACACAGTGCACAGGAGAGGAAAGTATAATTGTACAAGTCAAAAGGGAAAGCCACAAATACATTGTTGTTTTTACTGCAGCATTTATCAGTAAGCTAATTAAGGAAACAAAAAACGTCTCTTAGTTTTGCCCAGCTGACCCATTTCTGGTATAGAAAGTGTCTAAATGCAGTTCTGGAGCCTTTTTGTGTCAACATATGAGCTGGAACCTGGTGAAAGGAATCTAAAAAATGGGGCTGATCTTAGGCCGAGGGATTTTGGGAAATGCCAGAATAGATTAAAATTGGAGCCCCTTCCTCATATTTGGGAGGGAGTCAGGTCAGTGGTACGTGACAGAATTCCCAGCACGTAATGGCACAGTAATGTCCTGCTCGATAGAGAATGAGATCGAGGCTTTTGTGTGTAGTTTGCCCAATGATTTGCTTGAGTGATGTCACTGATTGCCATTGTCACGCTGTCTGTCTCACACTCATGGCAGTTTTGCAGTTTGACATTTAAAAATGTATCCACTGTCATAATTATTGTCAATGCTCCCTCCACAGAACAATGGTAACTTACATATTCACAGTCTTGCCAGGCTGTTTGTATTGGAACAAAGGGAAAAAGCACACAGTATGCTACACAAGTGCTCTATAACATATACTTTGACAGGGAGTCACAGTTTTACATACAGTGGGGAGAACAAGTATTTGATACACTGCTGATTTTGCAGGTTTTCCTACTTACAAAGCATGTAGAGGTCTGTAATTTTTATCATAGGTACACTTCAACTGTGAGAGACGGAATCTAAAACAAAAATCCAGAAAATCACATTTGTATGATTTTTAAGTAATTCATTTGCATTTTATTGCATGACATAAGTATTTGATCACCTACCAACCAGTAAGAATTCCGGCACTCACAGACCTGTTAGTTTTTCTTTAAGAAGCCCTCCTGTTCTCCACTCATTACCTGTATTTACTGCACCTGTTTGAACTCGTTACCTGTATAAAAGACACCTGTCCACACACTCAATCAAACAGACTCCAACCTCTCCACAATGGCTAAGACCAGAGAGCTGTGTAAGGACATCAGGGATAAAATTGTAGACCTGCACAAGGCTGGGATGGGCTACAGGACAATAGGCAAGCAGCTTGGTGAGAAGGCAACAACTGTTGGCGCAATTATTAGAAAATGGAAGAAGTTCAAGATGACAGTCAATCACCCTCGGTCTGGGGCTCCATGCAAGATCTCACCTCGTGGGGCATCAATGATCATGAAGAAGGTGAGGGATCAGCCCAGAACTACACGGCAGGACCTGGTCAATGACCTGAAGAGAGCTGGGACCACAGTCTCAAAGAAAACCATTAGTAACACACTACGCCGTCATGGATTAAAATCCTGCAGCGCACGCAAGGTCCCCCTGCTCAAGCCAGTGCATGTCCAGGCCCGTCTGAAGTTTGCCAATGACCATCTGGATGATCCAGAGGAGGAATGGGAGAAGGTCAATTGGTCTGATGAAACAAAAATAGAGCTTTTTGGTATAAACTCCACTCACCGTGTTTGGAGGAAGAAGAAGGATGAGTACAACCCCAAGAACACCATCCCAACCGTGAAGCATGAAGGTGGAAACATCATTCTTTGGGGATGCTTTTCTGCAAAGGGGACAGGACGACTGCACCGTATTGAGGGGAGGATGGATGGGGCCATGTATCGCGAGATCTTGACCAACAACCTCCTTCCCTCAGTAAGAGTATTGAAGATGGGTCATGGCTGGGTCTTCCAGCATGACAACGACCCGAAACACACAGCCAGGGCAACTAAGGAGTTGCTCCGTAAGAAGCATCTCAAGGTCCTGGAGTGGCCTAGCCAGTCTCCAGACCTGAACCCAATAGAAAATCTTTGGAGGGAGCTGAAAGTCCGTATTGCCCAGCGACAGCCCCGAAACCTGAAGGATCTGGAGAAGGTCTGAATGGAGGAGTGGGCCAAAATCCCTGCTGCAGTGTGTGCAAACCTGGTCAAGACCTACAGGAAACGTATGATCTCTGTAATTGCAAACAAAGGTTTCTGTACCAAATATTAAGTTCTGCTTTTCTGATGTATCAAATACTTATGTCATGCAATAAAATGCAAATTAATTACTTAAAAATCATACAATGTGATTTTCTGGATTTTTGTTTTAGATTCCATCTCTCACAGTTGAAGTGTACCTATGATAAAAATGACAGACCTCTACATGCTTTGTAAGTAGGAAAACCTGCAAAATCGTCAGTGTATCAAATACTTGTTCTCCCCACTGTATGTTAGAGCATCTTTTTTGACATCAGTGTCCTTAAAAAAAAGTATTTGGAAAATGATCTCAGACTTCTTTGACAGGTTGGTAGATTAAGTAGTCACTTGTGTATAGTCTATGCCTAGTTAGTAAATATCTGTTGGTATCTAAGGTGCTTACCATGACACCTGGACACCCATAGGTTAGATTAGATTACTGGACAGTTTTTGCATGTTTAAAAAGTGTTGCATAAAGATTTGTTGGCATTTTATTGCTTTGAAATGTATAGGAATGAAGGATGTAGGTAATGTGTCAGTTGGGTGTGGAGGGATTGTTGTACTCAGTTATCACTATCATCAGCTGGATGTTCTGTGTGAGAGAAGTGTTCTTTTCTTAATTCATTTCCTGTGACTTGTGACATATCAACTCTTGTCATTTTGGGGACTAGTAGGGAGTTTGATACCATTGTTTCTAACAGTTTGTTCCACATACTAAGAGGTTACACCAGGGTTATGGCTGTATGCTTGTTTTAGCAAGGCAACGTCTTTTGAACCATCAAAGACAAAGTAATCTACACTTGCTCAAAGACAAAGCCATATTTTTTGCATGGTTTTCACCATACTAAGACATCACATACAGTTCACGGATAACTCTCAATTGTTTCCCCTAACTAATGTTGTCCCTCGAATGACGGCATTGAAAAATGTCACAACTCACAGTCCAACGTATGATTTGTCACTAGAGCACACAGACAGGTGGGGTATATGCTGGTGTGCCTGTTGGAATGAATTGAACTCATCAGTTGTGTTGTTATGTCTATGGGATACAAAGGGTCATATCGAAGACTGTTGCTAGGTTATCTAGGAATGAAGACGACTAGAATGTGGAAACGTAAAATTGAAACAAACTTAAATGTGAAATGAAGATGTTAATTGTTTGACTACAATGTACTTATAATTGTTTTATTTCTGTTTTTATCTGCCATTATTGTAGCAGATCCAGAAAAACAGGTCCCCAATTGGATAAACACTCACTGAGACGTTATGGGTGTTTCTCCGCTGTGATCTTCTATAAATAGTTCAGTATCCTGGGATTTATTTTGTTCATTATCATTCTGAGTTATTGCCTTCTTATGGGTGATTTTTAGAGGTTGACGCTTGTTTAAACTGCTGAAGTATTTTGAATTCATAATCGAGCTTCACCCATTTATATTTGTTTTTGCGCATCTCTGCAAATGAAGGTGATTGTTTACAATTATATATTTGGTAAATACCAGTTTTATCTCCGCTCTTGTTTATCCTCTCTCCTATCACAAACATCTTCGGTACAATTTAAAACCCCTTATTTTTTAAATGTGTTATACACATTTGTGCTGCTTCATGAATATGATTGCCTTGTATTAAGCTATGGGGAAATAGAATGTTGCCATTTAGATGTACACTACCGTTCAAAAGTTTGGGGTCACTTAGAAATGTCCTTGCTTTCGAAAGAAAAGCAATTTCTTTGTCCATTAAAATAACATCAAATTG